ATATCCTTACAAGGAATCTTTACGACTGTATTTCATCATTAGCTTCAAAACATCTCTGTGTTTTTTCCTACCCCTTCATCCCACAAAATACCTTCCTCTGTTAAATGTCCACTAATGAAAAACACACCCTTTATTATTATGTGAATTCATATACCCCAGTCTTCTAAAGACTTCCTTTCTCATTGCTCATACCAGAACAGGCACGTTTGTCAAAAAAATATACTGTGAAATATTTAAGCAGGATCTGAGCATACTGCATGCTCTCCAAATTTCTCACTTACAGCAAGTCCCTGAAAAATAATTATCAGGAAGTATTAATTCAAGATAAAAAACTCTCAAATGCGACAGTATAATTTTTGCAACACTGCAAGTCAGAATGATTAAATGTTTGGATACAGCTGATAAAGTACTAAGACTTGTACATCTTCATAATACCATAACACAGCTTCAGGGCTCTGATGCTGTTCTCAAAGACATTCTCATCTCTGCAGATGTCCTCACTAAACTGCTTTTCACCAAAAGAGTTCAAAATTCGTGATCTGTGGATGTCGGCGGCATTTTTCCAGGCTAGTCCTCATTCCACCTAGCCAGAAAGACTAACAGCTCCTACAAATCTCATACTGAGAAGGCAATCTGTTTACTTAGCACAGCTCTCCCAAGCATATGTTTCCTGAGCAAAGCTATAGATGGTAGCAAGTGACATTTTACAAATTCAACTTTTGGGGGGTTGGTAGCCTTGTTCCTTTTCATTTATTTTAGTGAAGCATATGGAATTAGCTTTTCTCACATTTCTTACGAGCAGAGAATGACACCACTCTTGCAGTTGAAAGGTTCAACTGCAAGAACACACTAATAACAACAGGCTGAAACATAGCTACGTCTACTTGAGATGCAGTAGGACCACATGCAGCATACAATTAATAGATTAGATCCTAAGATAGAACAGGAGCCCAGCCAGCAAACACAACTGTTATCACAGCACAGTAATAAATATTCATAGCCAAATATAAGGGGAGGGAGAAAACAGCCTTCCATTTACAATTAAAAATGGACCTAAGCTTCTGAACTAATCAAACGAAGTAAGCAGCACCATAATGAGTCTTAATCAAATCTTATCTGGTACGAATACTCTCTTGAGAGTTGTAGATATCCTAATGATGAGACAAAATACATCCCCCTATAATTAAGTGGAAATAGGACTAATTGCTGTGGAGACCCCAAGACCTTCCTTGAGCATAGACCTGAGCCCAAATGGCAACTCTCCCATCATCACTGAGAAAAATTATGTCAGCCCTGGGACCAACAATACTGCTTGGTGAGACTCACACCAGGCTATCAAAGTATTGGAGTCTTTAGTTTGATAGAGACAAAATAAGATGAGAGGAAGAATTCAAGTAACCCGGCTTCAGGGTCCAGGATGCAGGCTGAAAGAAGGATTATAGAAACCAAGGAAATAGCTTCAACTTTTTTTCCCCCTTATTTCTGCACCACACATCAGTGGAGAGAGTAAATTTTTGTCTCCAATAGTTTAAAGATAAAGGGACGCAGGCAGAGGAGAAATGGAAAGCTATTTTAAGGCAAATCAGATCTATCCAAGTGGCTGAACTAACAGCTGTAAAACGCCCAGCAACCAACCTTACTGTTGTCACAAAAACGAAACCTTAAAATACAGAAGTTATAGTTCAGTTACCTGAGTTGGTTGGTTCAGTGCCAAGGAGCTACAAGAATAGTTTATTTTCTCAAATTATTGAATTACAAAGGTGTTGACCTCCTTTACAGATGATGCTTGAATTGTACCACCTTCAATTTAAACAAGCATCCTCAGTGCTTGCCTTTATCAAAATCCATCCCTGACACAGCAGTGGTCAAATGCTGTTTTGACAAGGATGGAGTTCCTCTGGATCTAAACTCTATGGTGTAGCATTAACCACAGTCAATTTTAGCACTCTGCCAGTGCCAGAGGTATTATCAGACATATTCTAACACTTCCTTTAAAACAAGCAAGCAAAACAAACAAAAAACGTTTAACAAACAGAAACTTTCCATTTTTAAGAAGAAAATATGTGTTCTGGTTAGCAGTTACAGTCATTGTATATCATCTGCCATGTATCAATTGTACAGGAGCACTCTGGTGTAAGCTGTATTTTTCTCCAAACTTTAATCATGGAGTCTGCTCCCTGAAACATCACAAGGAAAAATACCTCCTATCCCAGGGAGAAAAAGATCAAAAATAACCCACTGAGCTGTGAATGTGCCAATCTAAGGTTTTATGTTCAGGCAATGCATCTTGCAGAAGATGAAAAACTTCAGTTTCTTCAATATGTCTTGATCCTATGCACACTTTTACTCTATTTCCTTGCTGTACCTTCAAATTACGTCTGCTTCCACACCTGTTGTGCTTGTCAGAGAACATGTAAGTTATACATGCGGTACAGTTTCTCAGTTCCTCTCAGTTATTAGATTTCAAAGGATTCAGGGTCTCTGAGGAAGAGGGCAATGAGATGAATACATCTATGCACAATACACCCTGGAGAAACTGCATTACCAATATATATCATCTCTAAAATGTTCTGACTCAGCTCACATTGTATTAGATGGCACATACAGACCAGTTTGTCTTCTGATAGTTAAGCAGGCTGGCACTGGAAAGATGTGTCAATAATGTAGAATTCGCCAGGGAGAAACATGCAAGTGGAAGCATCTAGCAATGACCAAAATAGCCTTGCCAGAAGAAAGGCAAAATTTAATCCCAATGTGCTTGTGAAGTTATCTTCCCCTCCAGAAATGATGAAGAAACAAAACGAGGAAGAGAGTAGATTTGCAAAGGAAAAAGCACCAAAGAGCGGGTCAAGAAGCCAAAATGGGACAGAACAACAGGCACGCTACTCCAGAAAGGAAATAAAAATAAAAAGCGTTTCAAGAGAAAAACACAAAAAAAACCCAAAAGGAAGAAGGGAGAACACCTCTGGAATGAGGACAACAGTACACACTAACACACCACAAGAGGAGAGAAAGCGTGTGTACACACACATATGCATGTGACTTACAAATAACATTCAGCGAAATGTCCGTGTCTTCAAAGTGCTAGCAGTACACGCACATGATCATTTAGAAACAGTAAGTCCTACACATGCTGCTCTATAGGTATCGCAGGTTGATGCAACCATTGACTTGAGGAAATTATCTCAAGGTTACAAAATTCATACCCTGCAACCCTTGTCATCTTCTAGGTGTACTATCCTCTAGCTGCTTTACTCAATTAGAATAAAAGGGAGATTTCCACATCTGAGACTTGACCTTCGTGGCAAGAAACAACAGTACATTAGCCAACACTTGTTGCAGTTGCAAGCAAAGTTGCTTTGCTACCCTCCCAATAAAACACTTTGGGTTTTTTTAACAAAATAAAATCTACATGTTACCATCAAACACTTTCAGACATGGCACCAGAACATATTACTTTTCCAGTTACAATCACAGCAGTATCCACAAAGTTTTGCAGTGGTAAGGTTTAATGTGACAAGGTGATAATGAACTAACTAGTGTTAAAGGGCTAATTACTTTGGCTGTTCACATAGGTGCAACCATGTATGGTATCAGGTAACTGTAAAATACTATGCCTTCAGTAACAGCTGCAAAAGTAAATCCAATTAACAGTTCTTTGCATGTTTTGGGGACTTTTTTTTCTGTTTTATTTTATAAAATACATACATCAAAACTGACTTTCACAAAAAAGAAACAAAGGCTGTATAATCTTTCTTTTTCCACTTTTCAAGTCCTGTTTTTCTACTAACATGGAGGTGCTGAAAAATCTTTCTCCTTCCTAAGTCAGGTCCTTGCAAACACTTAAGTTCCAGACTGATTTCATTTGTAGTTTTTATAATACCTTTATGTGAGAACCTCCTCCTCTGCAACTTCTTATCCTGATTTTATTTCTTTCTGCTGCTGCTTTTATCTTTCATTCTCATGCTCTCTGTCCTTGCATATTTAATTATTAACTATATATACACTGAAGCACTTTGGAGTATAAGTCTATCTGAAATAGTTTACTCAAAATAAAAGCCTATTGCATTTTAAAACACTTCCTGTTAAGAGAGCATATTCTGGATTTGTAAAAAGAGAGCCTAACGTTTATCACACCCGTAGGAGGCATATTTTTACTCTACATTTTCTAACCTCTTGAACTGTAAATCACATTCCTAATTACATCAGGTACTCTGAATATCTAGCAGTATGAGAAGCACTTAACTGAAACAATTACGTTTGCTCTACAGTTTTAATTAAGCAACCCACTCAGCCGAAAACTAATAGATTAGTTCCTGTTGCTTGCAATATGTTTTTTGAATCACTGGCCATGAAAACAGTTAACTTTTACCAATCCAACACTGGCAGTCAAGTATGAAGCTAGTTTATCTTTTCTTGAGTCTTTCTTAACCCAGAACAGGTCCCATAAAGCTCTGCAACCTTTTCAAAAGTACCTCAGAGTAAAAGCTGAAAGACATGCCAAGATTATTTCAAATGTTTTCCCATCAGAACTACAAATTAACACATATATCAAAAAATACTAGAACAGAAGGCACATCAGCATGTGGCAGTTCCTTCTAGAAGCCAGAATGTGTGAAGATAGAGATATGATCACCATTTTCTGGTATTAATTCCTTCAGGCAGAAGGAAACTAGTAAACTTGAGATTGTTTTTTCTCTATTAAAGACAAAGCCCCTAAATACAGAGATTCTTGACCTTTGCACAATAGCGGAAAATGCAGCAAGTTTAATCACTCTTCATCAGGAGGTTTTTTTTAATATTACTCTTCTAATCTCGAGTCTTATGATTAAGTTGATTCAGTGATTTGAGAACTATGAAATCAAGGGAAAAAATGACATCTTGAAATTACCTGATTTTTGATGCTAAAAGCTTACATTTCCACAAACAAAATTAAATAGCTGTAACATAAATCCTTCTGTGGTAAGAAGCTGAACATGCCAAAATAATTTCCTTCTTACCTCAGCCTTGCGTATACTCTCTCTGGCTTCATCTATTTTCTGCTCCAGTTCTGCTCGGGTTTGCTCAGACATCACAGGCCCATGGCATTCTAGCTCTTCAAGTGTCTGTCAGAAATAAGAAAAAACACCACAGATGTAGTAAATGCTAGCAAGCCATTTACAAGGTAAATATTTATGACAAGTGAGGGAAATTATTGTTTGATTAGATGCTGGGTTGACCAACAATAGTCCACTCCAGGAAAAAAGATGATGACCAAGGCAAAACACCATTTAAAAGCACAGTATTTCACATGGAAATTCCACTTAGGGGAACACTTCAATATCTTCACAAAAACATGATATTGTGGTATGAATCAACTCATCTATATGTTGATAATTAAATATTTAAAATGGGTGTGTTGCTCTGCATTTCTATCAGGATGAAAAAGAGCATCTTAAACATGGAGAGAGAAGTTGCTAATGGTAGCCTTGCTGTAGAGGAAGCCAAGACAGGTTTCCTGCATTTGCAGGAACATTATGTCCAGAGGAGAATTTGCTGAATCACAGAAGACACTTTGGAGTTTCTTAGGTTCATGTACATGTTTGTTGACTGTACAGATGAAAAATAACAAAAGCATGTGACTGCACCAATCATCACCAGTTGTCTGCAAGTCTGTGCCTGGTTCAATGACTGTTTATGCATTTTGTGTTAAATAGTCTTTGGAGAAAGAGTAGAAGGAGCATCAGGTGCATTTTCCTGAGTAGTTTGAGGAATGGCTCAAATCTCTAAAGACTAAAGTGGAACTAGAAGCCAGGTCCCCCACTTCCTGGGCAGCCGCTCATTGAATATTACAGATATTGTAGTATAGACTCATTAATTGAATTTAGTCTATGCAAGTTAGGCTTAGTATGGCTAAGCATGTGAAACACATGTTTTTAGTCAGAAGTTAGCACAAGAAGGTAGCTTGAGTCTGAACATTCTCTCTCAACAAGAGCATGAGAGCCTTGATACAGATGTTTAAGGAACTTGGTGACCCAAGGGATGCACTTCTACTGGCTGATTTTATTCTCACTCCTAGGCAGTCTCAGCTGCATTCCAAAATACAGCTACCTGAAGCCTCAGTTAGGACACCCAAATACAGCCCTAGGTTCTTCTATGTTGAGCCACATATGTAGAAATAAATTTATCAATACAGTCTTAATTTTGTGTCTTCACATTAGATTTAAGTGCATATTACTCGTGGATTTTCCTAGTGTTGAGAAGACTTTTGATATCCAATTGAATATATTTTTTTCTATGGGTAATATATACATGATATAGTGGAGGTAGGAGAATCCTTGAAACTTTAGTTTGAACAGAATGATGCTGTGCAGAATAGAGGTAGGTCTGTAAGTTATTTGCAGTAAAGTAGAAGCCGTAACTTCAGATTTGTATGGGAATAACAAAACATATCGATGAACCAAAAAGTTTGAGAGGCTGCTAACATAGCCGTTTGAGTGTATCATATTGAGAAAGGCTAAGATGAAAATGGCAGGTTGCCCAGAGAGATAACAGGACAAAAGTAATTCCCTAGTGCTTGCAGCAGCTCCTCTTTCATGCAGCGGGGAGCTGCAACAAATAAAATCTGTAAATGAATGTTTTCCTAACCTACCCGCTGACTGTGGATGATGTTTTTGTGCTCACGGGCTACCCGGGTAGCCCATTTCCGAGCCTCCTTGTTGAGGCTGTGCTCTTCAGTTGTTCCAGTTTCCGATTCCAGTTGTCGACTCTGGAACAGAAAACAAGAGAACGAGTCATGACATAGACCCGGGGCTAATTCTGTAGATATGATGATATTTAGTTACAGGATAACTTTATATTACATTTATCAGCCTGGGATCTTGTTTCATACAAAACAAGAGGTTCAATTAAAACAACTCTCTTCCTTATGAACTTTGTGATGGTACCATGTTGTGGAAAGCCAACTACAAAAGCAAATCAAAGTTCACAAGAATTCACAACTGTTTCAGGAAAATCAGCATGATGGTGAATAGCAAACACAGTTCTACTGCAATGAAAGGCATTCATGATGAATAAAACTGAAATACTGTTTCACCCATACAACGTATCAAAGAAACAAAGGGTAACTAGCCAAGGAAGTCACCTAATTTCTAAAGTGAACATGCATCATAGGAAGCAAAGATGAAAGGTTAAGTGTGATCCAATGGGCCATTTAGGTTCATTTTTTGTAATTTGTGATCAAATCATAATGCCATCAAGCATTTTAGAATAGCACAGCAATTTCTGCCCCAAAAAATTGTCTGCAAAACAGCAACTCACATTTCAAGTGACATTTTTTGATATTGTTTCATCTTATGCCTGCTTTTATTGTGTCAATAACAACAAAAATTCTCCCCCTCATGAAATTCCAACTAAACCAAGATGAAATAGCTCTCTACTGTCTACAGATTGAACAGAACACACTTGAAACTCTAAAAACAGACTTCCCAGAATTTAGTTACAGAAATCATTCCCAATCTTTCTATAATTTCCCTTAGTGCACTACCCAGTGCATTTACATATGCATCTCAGTGTTTAGGATGTAAATCGGTCTCCACCTTTCCACTAAAGCAGGCTTCCTGATATTCCTTCTATATTTGTGGCTATTGTGTACACATTTAGCACACCTATACTGCATAAGGATAACTATTAATAAAGATTCATGGAGAGAGTCCAACAAAGGGCCATGAAGACTGGAGCATCTCTCCTGTGAGGAAAGGCTGAGAGAGCTGGAACGGTTCAGCCCGGAGAAGAGAAGGCTCCGGGGGATCTCATCAATGTGTATCAATACCTGAAGGGAGGGTGCGAAGATGATGGAGCCAGACTCTTCTCAGCAGTGCCCAGCGCCAGGACCAGGACATGGGCACAAACTGAAACACAGGAGGGTCCCTCTGAACATCAGGAAACACTTTTTCACTGTGAGGGTGACCAAGCACTGGCACAGGTTGCCCAGAGAGGTTGTAGAGTCTCCACCCTTGGACATACTCAAAAGTCGTCTGGGCACGGTCCTGGGCAACCGGCTCTAGACCAGATGACCTCCAGAGGTGCCTTCCAACCTCAACCACTCTGTGATTCTATGAATTTTTTTTTTATGAGCCAGTCTCATACTCTTCCCATCAATAAAATTAGCTGTGAGGAGACATTATATTCACCCCACCTTCCTGGGGTGTGCTCCTGGCACAACAGAAGAGATTCTTACAACAGACATTTCAGTGGTTTCTCCAATTTAAGTTAATCAGTACTCTGAAGGGGATCCTCAAGAACAACTCCTTTTCCTGGAGGACTTGCTGACTCATGCACATCTCCCTCCCGAGACACTCACAGCAGCCCAGAGCCACCCTGCATTCTTTTTTATCACAAGTCCTCTTCAGGCTGATATAACCTTGCACAACCTTTGAGATCAACTGAAAAAATCCCCTTACAAATTATCATTCAAGAAGAGAGAGTATGCTTAGTGCTGCTCAAAACAAACAGAGACTGCATATGCATGTGTGAAAGAAATGACTGTTTCATGAATTTCTCACTCTGTGGTTCAAAAGACAGGATTTTTCTTCATCAGGTGTAGTTTGAAACTAGAGAAGATTCCACAAGTATGCAGAAGTTGTTTAGGAAGGAGAAATTCAAGGTTAGGCAGCAGGAAAAGGGTAAGCAAGAGAGCAGAAAGACAAGGAATTATTTTCAGGTTAGGTGAGAGGCCCTCAGCAGATGCAGAAGAAGAGATGGTGTTATCAGGTATTTTAGCTGGCAAAGTGGTACAATTTGTGTCAAGGAAGGAAGACAATTTTAATACCAGCATTTGGTACAGACTGTAAAGTAAAATCAAGAGATACCAGGAAGCAAACCGAAGTGATACTGAAAGCACAATTTTTAAGCCTTTAGATTACGCTGCCCTCATGGGAGAGGCAATAATACTAACTTAGGCTAACATCCTATCAGAGGATTTAATTGAAAATGAGGCAAAAATTCGTTCAGCTTGTTATTTTGTTCAGCTAAGCTCCTTTTCATCAAAATTGAATCTGGCCTTTATTCTTATTCATCCTCTTATTACAAGAGAGCTGGGGGTAGTGGATTCAAGGGGTTGTGAAACAGATGATTTCCAATGGTAGCGGCAAGCGAGGGAAAGGAAGACAACCCCTACAGACACACACACGCACTCCCACCACAGGGCTCTGAATGGTTCAGGAGACTCCTGGGCCACTTTCTGCCTCTATTTCAAGAAGCTGTAACTCAGCCAAGATGCTTGCAGTGCTTCAACTTGACCCTAGAGAATGCCTTAAGGTATACATTAATAGACAACAAAAGAGGGGCGGAGGGGAGGTAGCATCCCTGTGCTCCTCACAGTGACCAAAAAAAACCCCAAACCCAAGAGGCTTTTACAATCCAGCATAAGATGTCAAGGTATTTTAGCTCAAAGCCAGAAATAAACATTTCCATGAAGTTCACCCACTGGAGTGGGACAGAGCCGCAAAACCTGTGTTAATGGTATTTTCAGAGTAAAAGCAATTGTTAGACAAGACATAGAGCAGCCAAGAAGAGGAGGAGGTAAGCTATAAGCACATGGTTAGCTCTGGCATGAACAGGTAGGAAGGCAAAGCTGCCTCCCAAGCAAAGAACAAACAGGTGCAGCTCTCTACACCTATCCCCTCACTTAATATTTAAAGTTGGCTTTTGCCTGCTTTTATTGAGGTGGCTTTATACGATCTTGTTTCTCCATTACTGTTCGACCTCTTCAATTACCTACATTAAGCTACTCCACTAGGTCATTGCAAAACGTAAAGAGGACAAACACACTGATTTATTTAGGCACATCCAGTCCTTAAGATAACATTTGACCTCTGTTTTTTTTCCCAGCTTATTGGAGTAAGCATTTTTGTACAGCTTCTTCCACAGCTTCCAGCTGAGTCTTAACAGCTGCAAATCTGAGCAGAATCATTTGACATTGCCTCTCCCCTACAAAACATCTCATAATGAATTTTCAGTGTTCCCATTGGTCTTGCTCCTACATAGTATCTCATTTTCATTAAGAAGGAATACAGACTTCTTTTCAGTTGCTTGATAACCTTCTGCATTATCCCAAGTGTGTTTTCGGTTTTTAATCTATTTATCAAAAGCACTTGACCAGAAAAATGAATGCAAACTTTGTGGCTACTCCTAAGGGCATACTAAAAAAGAAATGAATTGTTATTGGATCAGAGTGGTTATATTAGTTATTCATAAAGCAGTATTGTATCCAAGCAGACCTCACCCTTGCTTAAAGGTCGGAAAAAACCAACATAAAAATGAGGTAATAAAAAGAGTTGGGGAGAAACCTAGAGCTGTGGTCTGAGTGGATACCAAAAATACAGGCAAAAGCAGGAGACAAGATCTAGAGGCAAAATTTAGTCTCCTGGGGAAGCAGCTGAAAAGAGGGACTCCAAAGCTGGACAAAACCAGAGAAAGTGGTGGAAAATGCACAGCCTGAATACTTGGCTGAGAAGACAGTGCAAGGAGAAAGGTTTCAAACCCGTCAGGACCTGGAATGCTTCCTGAATAAATGGAGCTGGTATGCCATGGAGGGACTTCACCCGACCTGTAAAAGACCGTGCTGCTGGCGCTTAAGAAGGCTTGTGAAGGAAGCAGAGGAGCAGTAGCAAGCTGACTGGCATGGAAGAATACACACTTCAGGAGGACTTCAAGGATGACCTGAGAAGTCTGTATCCTCAGGTAAAGATAGGCTAGTGGGGTACATCAAGTAAGAAATGAAAAACCCACTGCCATTTAAATAGGTATGAAGAAAGGAGCTAAAACAGACATTTATCTGCTATAGACATAAAAATCAAAATGGGAGGAAAGGTGGGGGAACTGAAGTATCTGGTCCTAACTTGATTTACTAAATTAAGCGCTTGCTTAAGTGTTTTCAGGACTGGAACTTGGTGGTGGCAAGATGTCCAATGACTCAATTTAACCTCTTCCCAAAAACAGGGAAACCAAAACCGCTTACCATGGCCAAGGAATGAAGGAAGAGCCAAAAAACCTGAGCTAAACATAGATGGACATTCTGCCGTTCTCTAAGGGTTTGGATTACAGCAAAAGCAGTGTTTAGTGCTAAAAATTCAATCAGTAAACCAACTGAAGTACTAGATGACTCCAACCAGCTAAAGAGCTTAGAGGCTAGCAATGCTGTTTCTTAAATTAACAAATGCATTTAGTCTGTAGACACATGTCGCTTCTCCATTTTTGTCTGAAATGTTGTTGCAGGTGCAGAAGTTGCCTTATGACAGGGACAAACAGCTTGCATTCTCTTATTTATGCAGTTATATCTGGATGCAGATGGCACATGTACAGTCTTAAGAGCAAAAAAGAAGTTGGCCCTTGAGCCTAAAAGCTCCTTATTTTTGTAGCTGAAGACCAAAAATGTTCACTTCAACACAGGAAAAAAGCAGTAACATTTATTGCATGCAAATCACCAACACAAAACACACCTAAAAATCATAGCCATTTCTTCTAAAGAGCTGAAAACGAGATGTTACCATGCCAATGTTGAAAAGCAAGCTCAACCTTCTGATCAACACTTCTAGGGAGGAGGAAGGAATATGCATGACATTTTTCACACAATTCACAGCTAAACACAGCAGTTATAGGAACATCGTGAGTCAAGTTTGGTGCTCATTTTAGTCTATTATTCTAGAACAAATTTAATATTAGTTTAGCCGAGAGTGAGCTAGGACTGACTTGCGCTTCAGTAAATTT